ATTAAATAACCTTACCTCCACTTTATATCTCACGTTAGTTTCATTTGACAAGAAAATGAGGTATGACATTGAAAAAATTACTTTTGAATACTATAGTGAACCCCAAAATAAGTACCAAACAAAGTTAATGAGCGAAGAATTATTCAGTTTGAATAATATAATCAGAGTGAGATCTCTTTTAATATGTTTTTTTCTCAATTTTCTTTTTTAATACATCACCTACTGTAAAATAATAACAACAAAAATAAAATGCTGATTATTATTTAGTTGCCACATGGAGGTTACAGTCTGTGCTATTAGGGATGCAATCTGGGCGGGTTGGCACAAGTTGAGAGGTTAACCCTAACATAATCCTAAGTATATAATCTTCATCTCTAACCATATTTCAACCTGATTACTGCTCGAGTTTAATTCGGACAGGCTCGAGTTTAATTCGAGTTACTTAATTTAGGCTGATTTCAGGTTAAAAATCGAGTTGGGTTTGAGTTACTTAATTCAGGCTGATTTTTTGAAGTGTAAATTTGATTTTTTTCAAGTGTAGATCTGATTTTTTCAAGTGATCTAAGATGAAGGGTGAGGTGCAGATGAAGAGAGAGGGAGGAGTGACAAGTGAGAAAGAGAGGTTGAGAGCCTGAGACGACTCAGACGAGTGACAATTGAGAGAGAGAGGCTAAGAGAGGGAAGAATGACGAGTGAGAAAGGGATCCAAGAGTGATGGAGATACAGGGATGAAAACTTGAAGTGAAATGAAAGTCTAGACTTTAAATAGTGAAGATAAATACTAACCCTAGTTAAACATATTTATATATTTATGTATATTCTGGTTCATGGGTGTGGCCATTGGTCATACTTTGTATGGATCGAGGAGAGCCAAAACAGACAGAAGATGAAGAGGAAGAGGGTAAAATTGTCTGAATCGTCTGATCCCGTTAGTTTTAGGGCAAAATTGCCCTAAAAAAAGTAACTTCTCAAAAATTAAATTGTATTAAGTGTTGAACCAGTCAGTTTTAGAAATCTGTATAGCTCATGTTAACTGTGTATTTTGGTTTGTTTTAATTGTAAAATTACGTCTAAAACTACATATAGAAGATACAAGCATGCTTCTTATGGTACTTCCCTTTGAATCACTTTGTCAAGTGAATATACTTGCTATGCAGTGAAATTTTCTACTTGCATTGCACTAGAACTGGTGAATAACCAAGCTGGTTGGTGCATCTTATTACGAAGCTTATGTAAGGTCGTATAAATATACGTGGATTATGGATATATGTATCCCGTGACTTACAAAGAAATGACAATGGCTAATGGTCGATTTTCTCAATCACTGATGTTTTTAAGAGAGCAAATCTGAAGCAGGAAGGCTGTATGTGTCATTGAATTTTTGCCTTGGATGACAAGTAAGGGGAAATATGTAGGGAACTTAAAATTCCATCTGTCTACTGTGCTCTCTTTGATTCATGGTTCAAGGTATCGGCCGAGTCCGATACAACTCGGCCCCCTCCGATACGATAACGGTACACATTATGCAAAAATCATGAGTCTCACCTGAATCGGTCGTGACTCGGTTACAACTTGGTGGAATTGGCTTGACTCGGAGTAATATCGATGTGAGTCGGAATAATATCGGCGTAACCCGGCCGAGTCATACCAGACTCGGACAGATATGATAAAATTCTTCCAAAATTGAAAGACAAAAATACAAAAAAAGACCAAAGTGGAGAACAAAGAGGGATAAGAAATCAAACAAAAAATAGAACTCAAATTTGCAGAAGGCATAACTGCCTTTCTTCTAATTTTTTCATTCGCACAACAAGCTTTGTTCTTCTCTTTCTTCTTCTTCGCAGCAAAGACCAAACATCACAATCGAAAATCAATTGTAGAAACCCTAGGTTGCTCGACCAACATCATCGATCGCGATCACAGTTGAAGTCTCGAACAGGCCTGACTCCCTCTGTTCCTCTCTCTTCATCTCTGCAGTCGAAGTCCTGATCGCGATCGCGATCGGTCGCTCGCCTCTCGTCTGCTGCCAAAGAGTGTCACCTCTCTCTCTCTCTCGTCTGAGAGTATAGAACCGACAAAGTCAAGCCCAGTGTCACCCAATTCATTAAACACTATTTGACTGTGATTAATTTGTTAACTTAAATATGATTAATTTAATTTACTTATTGTGAGTAATTTATTAAAGTGTGGGTAATTTATTTTACTTAGAATGGTTAATTTATTAACATAGTGTGGTTAATTTATTTTATTTGTAGTTAATTAGTTTTTGGGTTCACTTTTTGTCCAAGTTTAATTAGATTAAATTTACTATTTAATAAATCATTAAAATATTTAATGTAATAGTTAAGATATTTAGATTATTTATTTTTTAAATAAATATTTGAAGTATTCTATGTTAAATCAAATGCTAAATTATTAATCTTATGGTGGAAATTATCCTAATTTGTATTATCCTAGAGACAATAATAATGATGATATTTCTTAAGTGCTTACCTTAAACATTCATAATAATAATTATTTTCGGTAGTGTCTTTATATTTTATTTTATTATTTTTAATGTGTTTTTGGATATATTGTAGACATATAATGCATGAATGATGATGCTTATATTTTTTAGAATTTATCATAATTTTTTTAAATTTTTTTGGAGCTTCTATCTAGCATTTTAAGCATATCGCCCGATACCGTACCGCGACGCCGTGACCGATGTGTATCAGTGTCCTCCGAGTCGATGACCGATACCGCGACTTTGAACTATGCTTTGATTGGTTTGCTTGATTTAGCTTGATCGCTGCTATTATTTTGTACTTCACATGTTCTGTACTAATATGTTGATGAGCTGCTTTGTTGGTTTCCAAAGACTCGGTGGTTCTCAGAAACAACTACTTTTGGAGTTCGAGAGAACTTTGGACAGCTTCCAGCAAGCCTGGTTTGCTAGAATTTTCATTAGACATCTTTCAGGCAGCGTGGTTTGCTACAACTTATAAAAACTTGGACCATCATTGGCGCCATATTGCTATAATAACAGGTGTCTCAATTTAGGATTTTTGAAGAACATGGGACTTGTGCACAATTCATATTCACTTACCACTCATGCACCCTGCTCTCATCATGTTTTGTTATTGTATCCTCCAACAAACGAGAATGAACAAATCTGGCAAATTGACTTCAAAAATGAACTTATGTGAGATAAGAAAAAGATCTCTAAGTCTATTCTCAGATTTCACAAACAAAGGTGTGTATGCAAAAATAAGCAAGTGTACCCGGGAACTGTGCTTGCTTCATGTTATGCAATCCTCATCGAGTTTTGTTGCTCGTTAAACGAGACATTGCAAGCTTAAATTGGTGTTCAGCTTTAGCTATTCTTTGTGTTGTAATAACCTGTGTGATGCAGATCTTGTTTCAGTTTCTGCTTTATTATTTGGAGACTTTTTTTCCAGAAAATGATCCCATGTGTCTATTTCTTGCTTTGAATGAGCTTGGCTTTTTTTAGGTACACAGACTTGATAGAGATAGTAGTGGTATCCTGGTGATGGGGAGGACACAATTAAGTGCCACTGTTCTGCATTCCATCTTCCGTGAGAAAACTTTTGGAGCTTCAAATGATGTGTGTAAATTTCCACTCTTCTTACTAGAATTGCTGCTGCTATTTTGATTATCTTTATTCTTTTGGAGTTATATCTCTCCTCTTCAACCAGATTTCCTTTTCTCCTTTTTAAGGATTGTGAAAATAAAAGAAGGATCTTGCAAAGGAGGTATTGGGCACTTGTCATTGGATCTCCCAGATGTTCAGCAGGATTAATCTCAGTGCCACTGGGAAAGGTTAGATAATATCTTCTTTACATGACCTTAGATAGGGGCATCCTGTTTCTATTGTCTGTCAGCTCCTATCTGGAAAACTCATGTGGTTTCACTAGTCTACTCAGTCTTACCCTTTCTCTGCATCATCCGCTGCTGCAAAAATACATTGGAGAAAATGGGCAACAAGAACTGATGCTGCCAGGCTGTTCACTTTGGATTTCTGATTTAGCTGGACAGTGAATTTTAGGGCACATAGACAAGGCATTGTCTAACCTTTGCACCGAGGGGCAATGAATTCTAGTCGTCAACCACATGACGCCTAGGATGTCGGGGCAACAAAGTGAATGTCACATTGGCAGCCGGCAGTGGTACAAATATGGTGTTAGGGACATGATTCTCAGCTTTAGTCAAGAAGCACCATCTATGTGTATTAAACTATTTTCTCAATAAATGGATGAAAGGCACGCATTAAAGTATGTTCAAACTATGCATGTATTCCCTTGTGTGCGTTCATAAAAAATAATGAATAAAGTTGGTGCTTACCGGTTCGTCTTATATAATGCTATTAATCTTGCTAAAGGCACTTTATTTTTTTTCTCCTGTTTTGATGTTATGTTTTCAATTTTTTCCTGGGTTTGATTTGAACATACAATTTATAAGTTCTGAGTTTGGAAATTAAAATGTTATTTTTCCAGTGCTTTAATTTTTTATCATGTTGCAAATAGTTGCATATATGATGGCAGTGGCTTAGGGTTTTATCTGGAATGCAAAGCCATTCACCATGCTAAACCTATCATTAGATTGACACGTTTTACTTTTTTATGGAGTACAATATAGATTAGGTTTTGATGATCTGACTAATCCTCTTCCACTTTAGCAGTGTCTCTACTTTTTGCTCAGTTTAGAATCTTATTATACATTTGATACATTTTGTAGGTAGTGTTGGATAATAGAAAATCAGAAAGAATTACAGTCGTCGGCAATAACCAAACAATGTCATCTCAGCATGCCATAACAGAATATCAGGTGATTGAACCTTCGTGGCACGATATGCTCTGAACTGAGCTAAGATTCTCATTCCTGAAAGTTTTATCTCAAAGAGGAATAATACAAAAATGAGATTATTGTCCTCCAGAACAACTTCTTGTTAAGTCTTTTTAGGAACATACGTTCTTTCTTGTATGTAAATGCATCTGACAATGGTGGTCAAACTTGTAGGTTATACATGGTTAGAGCTACCACCTCTCACTGGTAGAAAGCACCAGGTATACAAAAACTACATGCCGTGCTATTTTGATATCTGAATGTCTCTTTGCTTTCTACAATTACTGATTCGCTCCTATTGTCTCTTAATTTGGCCGGACAAAATAAAGCTCCGTGTGCACTGTGCTGAGGTATTGGGAACGCCAATTGTTGGAGACTACAAGTATGGGTGGCAATCTCATAGGAACTGGAAACATCTGCCCTCCTCTAAGCTTGAAAGTAACATGAATGAGAAGTTTTCCAAGGGAAATACACTTCATTTTGGCCTTGATTTGGAAAGTGGAAGTATTTCTGAAAAGCACCCTCTCCTACATCTTCACTGTAGAGAGATGGTTTTGCCTAATGTATTAATGGCTTTGCAACATACCCAATTGTCTTCAGAATGTGATCTTACAAAAATTGAAAGCCTCAAGTTTGTTGCTCCTTTGCCTTCACACATGCAAAGAAGTTGGGACATTTTGCATTCTTGAGCTGTAATTGGGTCCTCTTGCAAGTTCTTTAGTTGTATTTCTTTCATGTCGTTGGTCAATCCATTTTGCAGCTTTGAAATTTGGTTCAGAAAAATTGTGTTTTCGAAACTGATATCTGCTTACGTGCGCATAGTGGTAGAGAGGAAGACTTGTGTGCATGCCCACATATCAATCAGAGAATAACTAGCTCCTAGTGCATGCTATTACATTCAAAAATGAGCAAAAAAATCACAATCAACACATTCATTAATCGAGATTCTTAGCAATAGGAAACAATTTCAGGCCGCAATTTCACCAGGTACCAATTTTCAGCCACAACAGTAACTAGCCTGTACAAGAAACGACAGAAGTTCCCCTGAATGCGTTCCTGCAATCCTGCCTTCCCTTTTACATGTGGTGGACCTATCATTTGATAAATTGTCATCTCATGTTGATTTGCAGTGTCTGGACTAAACTTCCCATATCATCATATGTGCTCTATGTACATGTTAGCCAGTGAATCACAGCAATCAACTGAAATACATGTTCATGAAGTATCTTGATGGGTTGAAGCCACTCAAAATTACTGCAAAGCAAAGATAATGAATTGATCTTTCCTGTCAACAAATGATAGGGTAAAAAGACAATCAACAGAAGCAGTTAACACTTACAGATAGGTGAAAGGATGATGACGATACCAATTGGATACAGGAAGAAAGTAGTTCTTTCTAAAAAGGGTAGTACTGCATCAAAAAAACAGACTGTTAGACTTTACAGGGAAAGACAAGTTTTATAACCTAGAAAAAGGAAAAGGAAAAGAATAAAACAAATCATAATCATCAAAGCATCAAAAATTTCTCCTGTACTATGGCCACCCAATCAATACACCTGGCAATTAATTACAGTGACATCCACATTAAATTCCATAATCAAATTGACATAGCCCACGAGAATCCAGCTCTTCTGCGTGCCAATTCCAACTTTAATACAATACAGTGCAAGCAATGAGTTTAAATTCATAACCACCTTTATACCACCGGAATTAAGTACATAACACATCATCTTCTTGGTGATCTCACAAAAAAAAAACCTGAGCTCCGCAGGTTACCTCTGATTGACCCATAACAATTTGAGGTATATATGGCTCTGTTTAGACTCCCCCACTCACAGCATCTATTTGGAAGGAAAAATCCAAAGAAATTACCAACAAAAAAATCATCCATATCCTCAATATCTCATACACATTCGGTAGTTTCTTGCTGGTCAGCTGATGATGAGATTAATCAATCATGAAAGCAATCCCAGAGAGTTGAAAAGAGTGCATAAGCAAGCAACCAAACAAAAATACAACGCCCACCATTTTTATGTCTTCAGCAGTTCATTCAATTCAATGTCTCAACAGTAGTCTTGTATTTCCGGTGAACACTAAAAAAGACCAGAGAGGAATGCCATTGGGCCAAGGTTTGAGCTCCCCAATGCTCAAGTATCAATCATAAACGAATATGCTTATCTATATTGTAGAGCATACTTCACAACCCAAGAGATGCGATAGGTAAGTTTTTCATCCCTTTGATAACTGATATAAGGTGGGATTTCCACCCCGAAAATGTGACATGATTTTGTTACATACCCATACTTTTCAATCCAAATGGGGTTATATCGACATATGATGGGTTCACCATTTAAAGTCAGGCGCCCAAGATGTTTGTAAACACTCCTATCCAACTTTTTGTACCCAGCATGTTTCAGTTCATCTTTGAAAAAATAACATTAGAAAGAAGAAAAGTAACATACTACAAGTAGAGGTTATCTTACCATCATAACCTAAAAAGTTGAGGTAATGATAGTAGGAAGCAGCCATCATACAGAGCAGATTTGATAGCAAAACAGGAAAGAACCCATGAGCAACCAAAAGAGGTGATAGAAAATAATGTATAACTGTCACAAAAACAAAGCCATCAGTGACAATCCAGTACATAAATTGAGGTTGAAATTTTAGAAGAGATGTATTGTACAACCTTGCACTTACCATACAGTACAGCAAACATTGGGAAGAAAGAGTTGCAGTGTACATCAAATGCGTAAAGCCTTCAAAAGAAGAAAAACAGATTCAGCACAAAACAAAAAAGAATTTAAATACCTAGGTAATGCAGTGCCCTTTTTTGTTTACAAAACTATTAAAATGGAGACAATTATAGACTGCATTATTATATTTTACAATATTTAAAAGATGGAACATGTGAACAAAGAGATGTGAATAGAATTGGCAACTAACATGACAAATAAAAAGAGAAAAACAATAAAAGTAAGAATGTTCAAAACATACAATTCTACTCTTTGCTCTACCACATGACTGTTTGGAGCTTCCTCTCGGAGATAAGTATTTGTCAAGAACCTGCAAGGAGATTGCAAATGAAATTTTCCTTTGTACCTGTTTTCCATCATACATTTAACATGCAGCAGCAACTCATAAAAGTCAGGCACATCTTAGCACAAAAAGGAAGTGAATACTAGGAGAAGTGACTTCCAAAACAAAAGGGTTGCTACTTTAAAATCAGAATGTCCAGAAGTGAATATCAATACTACACATAGTTTTACAAAAGGCGTTGAAGACGATAAGAACTGGCAGTGGCAATATGAATACAGACAATTGTAATATCCCATTGTATTAATACACTTTTGATCAGTGCAATATGGAAGCATTGGCAAACCTAAGATTGATAACAAAAAGGGGGAAAAAACAAGCAAAAGGTGTATCTTCAATGAAAGGACATGTATAAATTCAAAATGGTAGTTGTAGCTCTTACCAACAACATGTAGCCAAAACTGCTCCAGCTATTAAAAAATGTAAAAGCAATACTGAGATAACTACAAAAACAGCATGCCCCACACTATGATCATACCTGAAATAAATGGAAGATAACAAAGTTCAATCATAATCAGAATTAAATATGCATAAATAATGAAATGTAACTGATACTTCAGTTTAAAAGTTAAACGATGCCAAACAAAAAGAAAGCGACATGAAACAGCCTAATTTGGAAGATGTCAGTAAATTAAAATTGAAACATTTGCACTTATGTATATATATACCAAAAATCACAAAACTCATTTGCAAAGTCCAAATTTCAGGGAAATGGCATACGATTGCCCAGCCAAAAAAAAAATGTGGTTCACAGTTCAAGAAGTCATAGGGTGAGTTTCTTTAGAATCAATATTATAGAAGTCAGCTGGGACTACGATTATATGTATAAAAAACTTACGCAGCACAATAAGCTAACGTAGATACTGCCAAAAGAAGAATACAGATTACAACAAAGGCAGGATCATCACGTGCCCACTGGTTCTTAGTTTCTGCAAAATCAAATAGATACGAAAACAACTTTAAGTCAAAAATTAGAAAGGAATTTGACTAGGGAAAGGTGATAACAAAAGCGACCCAACTGACCAAAAAACTATGCTTAGTTGCCAAGCTACTTGTAGAAACAAAAAAAACAAAGAGAACAAAGTCAAGAAAAATGTTTTGATTCTCAATTTTATTAAAAAAAAAAATAGAATTTCAAAGGGGTTAAAAATTATATCCTACCATTTTTTCATAACATTGACAAAATTAGATATGTTAGAAATGGGTGATAAATTAGGTTAGCTGGTGAAGTAACTTAATTTTTATACAAGTCCTAGAGAGCAGAGATCAAATCATGCCCTCATCCTGGTTGGGAGTGTGCACAAGTATGGGTACCCACAATTTTGTATGCCATTTTCAACCTTGGACCAAGAAAAAGTTTCTGTTAGCTCTGGCTTTAGTTTCAAGGAACTTTCAAATCAATTTGAAAATTTTAGCAAACTAGATTCAATTACAACGACGATATAGTGAGCTGCGGAGGAGAACATGAAAGAAGAAATTTGGGTTGAGACAGAGAAATTGAGGTGACAAATACTATGGTTAATTACTTTACCAACACAGTTGGCAAGGAGGAAGACTAGACCTCCTAAACCCAGGCCCATTCATAAAACAAGCCAAATATCACTCACTTTTGCATCTCTTACTTGAAAGCACGTATTTTATCACTAGAATATGCTTCACTACAAGCAATGACATGCGCAATGCAGATTTAAAGCATACGCGAAATTAAGAGATTAACAAAGACATAACAAAATTACGTTATATTGCAACTATGAATGAATAAAAGTGCTTACATTAAACTTTGAGAAGAAAATAATATATGTTATTGATAATTGATGACTATATATAGACCTGCACACATACCTATATATAAATCACCCTTACAAGATTTGAAATATGACGACACTAAAACATTCATGCAATATTTTTATTCTTAATATCAATTAACTTAGAGATAGAATGCAACAACTATCACTGCATAAAGCTGATGCTTATGGGTATTCTAATGTAATAAATTAGTGCCCAGAATGCATAGCACAGTCAGTGTGACATATTACAATTTGGCAACAACATGAACACAAGAACATGTATAAAAAGAGACCAACTTACGTTTGTGGTATTTAGTGTGCTGATAGCTGCATCCATTGTACAGTTCCACATGCAAAATGCAGAAGCAATAGTATTAGGGAACTCCAAAAAACAAACTCAAAACACTCCGAGTAACAACTATGTGGAACCAAATTTGATTCAATTCGAAGGTGAGATAACCTAACAAGAAAGTTTGAATAGGATCAACTCAACCCAGGAAGCGGCATGCCAAAAAGTGCAGAGAACTATGCAGGAGTAACACAAGAAATACATATTATGCCAGTAGAACTTAAGCATAAATTAAATAATGCAACTTGTAACTTGTAGTTCCATTGCAGTGATCTCTATAGGATTCCGGAACACATGAAAGCAACATCTACTTGCTATACTTTTAGCATTGTATAAAATCAGGACCCATAAATAATCAATGATGTTCATATATCGTTGTAGTCATGGAAGCCGATCAGGTCATGAAAAATGATCATGCTAAACAAATGACTAAAGAATCAGGAATAGGAATCTAAAGAGAGTATAGGTGGGCAGTGAAGGCAATGGAGACATTCCAGGTATGTTTGTGTACGAGATACATTTTCAACAGTAAAGAGATTCCTAAAACTGTTAATGTGGCTCAACCAAATACAATTGAATTCGCATGCATAGATTCAAAAGAAGCCATAAAACTCTCCTGGGCACTCATATCTCACAAAAAAAAAAAAGTAGGAGAAAAAACAAATGACGCTGGCTGTTTGCATCAACCATCCTTGATAAGACATCATCTCAATATATCTGACTCCACAACAATGAAATTTCTAGTTTTGCCCTTATGAACAGAAAATTGGATGAAAATCCAAGTAACAGTATTGGAAATGAAAACCACAGCAACAACAACAAACAGCAATGATGCAGCATCAATACTTACACAACTTTAGGCGACGTGCATAGGTGAAGCATTTGCCAGAAAGTATATTCAATATCCATTTGTTGCCACTACAGGGAGCAGCCAAAAAGAAACGGACAAAAAAAAAATGAGGTCATATCCACCTAAACAAAAACCAAAAAAGTGGAAAAGAATGATAACAAATAGCACATCATGTTCATCCAGTTTCCAATGCCCCATCAATACAGCAACTACTGTAAACTTCTAGATTATGTATCAAGAGACTTGCCACATCTGGGACAATGACAAATCAAGACACTGAAAATTGAAATGAATATGAGATACAAGTAACAGATTCCACGTCTATGTTCGAGTAATTTATACATCCCATAGAACCTTCCCTTAAGGCGGTAGCTCTCATGTTACTTCGAGATCCATTCTCCTTTTTCTTTGCTCTGGTGCTCCTCCTAATCATCTCTCCTAGAACCGTTAGCTCGTTAATCCCTTTTTATGGTAACTAGTGTTTACCATCAGAAACCTCCATAACCACACTGCCGTTGCATGCTTCCATACTTTACGGATCACCGGCCCCACCCACTTTCTCTTGGCTGAATCTCATGTCCCTACCCTCGTCTTTCTCCTAGTTCCTACTCTATCCCAATCTCTTCCTTTTCCATACTTCAGTTGTCTCTTTGCAGAAGAAACCCTCTGCAACTTTACAAAACTCAGCATAATACAGCTGGTTTATGCAGTGAGGATGATCCTCTGGAGCTGAAAGCAGTTGAATCAGATAATGAGCATGTCAAAAACTGCATCTGTTGGGTAAGCTAGTGACAGAAAGAATCCATTTATTCCAAAGACTGGAACTCACAGGTCACCATAGAGGATTCAGCCAACTGCCAATGAAGACGACTTGAATATGCTTAGGCTGGAAATTAGCCAATAATTTCTACATTGACACCATTACAAGAAAATAACACGAAGAACAACCAGAATATAGGTGTTTCTAACAATTACAACATAAGTTTCTAGAAGGTAGATAAATAGGAAGGAGAGTTATCAACTCCAAATAGGTGGGAAAGGAGATATACATAGCAGATTTTTCTCTTTCTCCATTAAATGATGAGGTTTGAACCTTGGAATCTGCTCCACAGTAGTCCACAAAATACGCATCCAAGAAACTCAGGACTATTAACAGATTGTTTGAACATAAAAACATCAATCCCTCGTCATTGGATAAGAAAAACCAGAGAACTGACTAGAAGACTCAAAATTTCACAAAAATTGCTAACCTCAAAACCAGCTTGGGATTCAAGACTAACGGAAATCACTTGTTCAGCTACATATTATTAGGCCTATTTGGGTATATTATCCATCCACTGATCACACAAACTCTAGAACTTCCCACTATCCCGTCCCATGTTGTTGAATCCCACAAAACAATGAAATTCAGTGACTTTTCATATTTAAGCTAATGATTCAATTCCACACCAGAGCCTTATCACAAAATTCTTCGGTACACAGCCATTTACATGTTATTAATGGAAAAACCCAAAGACCCAAAACACTACACATAAGCCAAAGAATCAAAGGGAAAAATAAAATTTCTAGAAACTACACATCAGAGGGAAATCTAAGCAGAATCATAATAACAACGGTTCCGTTTTCCTAATTTGATCCAACCCATGAACATGACATGAGATAACCCAACTCCGCAATGCGATGTTAATTCGAAATAAAAGCAAAAATGTTGGAAATATTATCAGACTGGCATGGAGATCAGATCTGTAGAGATTGGAAAGACCTCAAGATAGAGATATATGCATGTTGGGGCACAGGAAGAGAGAGAAGTGGAACCTTGACAATTCTGCGGAGGTACTGAGGTAAGGCTTGATTGGGACGAACATGATTATCAGCCGTACGCCCTTTTGATGATGTGGGCAGCATCTTTTTCTTCTCCTACTTCGATTCCTCCACGGTGCTCTCTCTCTCCCTCTCTCCCTCTGGGCTGAGGCTCTGTTTGACTCCGTTTCGTTCTCTGCTTTCTGGTAAGCTACAGTTCGAGTCAGGTATGGTGGGTCAGATTGCGGGTGACCCGACAGCTCCGGGAATTGGTCGGGTTTCGCGAGCCCGGTTCACAACAAGATAGGTGACATTACTGATATTTTGAATTATTTTTTAATACTTTGTAGTTGAGTGGAATTAAAGAAAGAGTTATAAAAATTATTTGAATATTATTAAATATTAATTTACATCCTCTTTTTTATTTATTAACAGAGAGTATTTTTTATTTTTTGTGCATCACTCATCTTAAATTTAAATAATATATTGACTAATTGTTAATTTAAGCAAGATAAAACTCTCAAATAATTTATCAGAATAAAAATACATAAAATATTAAAAGAAATTGAAGAGTATAAAAAAAGACAAATTGAACTTTGCATCGTAAAAAATTCTAAAAACATTATCAACTCTCTGCAGCTCGTAATATCAGACAATTCAACTAATACATTTTCTAATACCGAACAATTATATTAATTCATATCTATTTTCCTCTTTTGTTTCTTCTATTTTTATTTTTTGGTTCACGTAAATTTTAAATTATATAATTAAAAAATAATTTATTATTTAAAATAAAATATTACTTAATTAATATTTAATTATAATATTATAAAAAAATTTTAAATACAAAATTATAAAATCGTAGAAGTAGTTTAATAACAGAAACATCAACGGAAGTTATAATGTCATCAGGCGGGCCAAGTATCGCCGGTGACGAATACTTGCAGGTAGTTCCGGTGGCAGCTCTCCCTCCTCGTCCTCCGGCGGCTACATCGACCGTGATTGTCGAGTATACGCCTTCGGCCCCAAATCTCGAGGAGGAGGACCTAGAGGTCAAGCTTCGTCGCATTCTTGAATGCGTCCCCGTCCGTGTCAACAACACTTTCGGTAGCTCCGCCGGTTCCGGCTCTGCCGACTTTCATCAAGTATTATATCAGGATTACGGTTTTCATGAAACCCTAGATTGCAAGTGTTTATCGTATAGTTAGAGTTGCACTGATATTTTCATATGCAATTGATAGTAATGTAGTTTATATGTTTGGAAACCCACAAGAGAGCTTCTTCTTCAAGTTTTGGAGGGTTCCGAGGGATAGTGAGGTAGCCTCGTGCCAAAACAAATTGGTGAGCCACAAATATAATCACAGCATCACTGTTCGTATAGGAATGAATTTGGACTCTGGAGATGTGTTAGGAGTGGGAGTGGAGTGGCATTTGCACTTGAACTAGAACTCAATTGTGTTCCATATACTAAGAGATAGCATGCTTCACTGTTTTCTGCTTTTCTTTTTTAGCAATTTAGCTTATTTATGTGTTCCACCTTCTCATAAGAGAGCCAAACTAAGGACAATATCAACCCTGAACCAACGCTCATTGGATTCAGTCTTTTTCTTTACATAGGCTTTACTTTTGTGTACATACATAGTAAGTTTATTTGGTTCGATGTTTTGATGTGAGGTTCACTGGACCACCACCATCAACTTGCATCTTTAGCAAATAGCTACAAGTCTCTCAAAATATAAAGAATTTGTGGGCACAATGCAATATTGCCATCTTCTTTTGTAAGAGCCCTTTTTTTGTGTCATTCTTCACGTTTGAAATGCTATTGGATAGAGTTTTATCTCAATAATTTGGAGATCTGTTGGTGCATGTTATTTAGTGTACTTAATTGGGGTTCTTGATTAAGTAACGTGTAGGATTACAAATATTTTCTGGAATTTCTCTGGACAGTATCGGCAAATGAGAAGGAAAGAGCAAGACCGGCTTGCAAGGATGGATATTGACTACCTGAAAAGGAAAGAACTCGCAGAATTTAGCTTGAGAAGGGAGGAGAGATTAAGAGATGCGGAAGAGCAAACAGCAAAAAAGCGTTTGTCAAACAAAAAAACAAAGAAAGAAAGTGAAGAAGAGCAAATTGAATGCTGGTGAAGAAGAGCATCAAAAGAAAGTATCTTCAGAGGATGATGAGAAATCTGACAATGATAAAGCAGAAAAACAAATGGCATTCGATTGAAATGTTAGCTGCAGGCCCAGAGTTCATGCTTGGGTTTACAAGAAAATCTTCAGGCAATTTGATCTTGATGCAGATAGGACCTCTTTTCGTGAAGAAAAGCGCTCGATGATTCCGGGAGAATGAGAAATACAGTTTGATAGAACACTTTGTTTTCCTTTCTGATGAGGAGGTCTCCTCCAATGGAAGTCGACTTGATTTACGCGTAATGCTTGTTAGAAATAGTTAGTAATGTATCCCACATTGAAAAAATAGAAAGGAAGTTTAAGAGTTTAAAAGAAGAAACACACCAAATTTTTATAAGTTTGGATGCTGGAAAGATTTGGGGGAAACTTTAAATATTTCAAATCAATGGACTTTGATTAGACTTTAAATATTTCAAGGGAAGCTCCAAATATTTCAAATCAATGGGAACGAGGGCGGTTCGTTGATATAATTCTATAGACTGCTTTGAATTCATTTGAGGTTATATAGTTATGTGTAAACAATTAAACGTTTTTGTATTAATTAAGCAGTTAATTAACTGTTACATATCTCTTGGCCTAAGCGTTATGTCTCTTTTTTGCATCTCTAATGTATTACAAATACCTGTACGAATTATTCAATAAAGATATACAGACAAAAACGTTTCTCTATATTTTGTTTTTGAGAGAATTTTAGAGTTTGCTATCTAAAATTCTATTTAGCTTTATTAATCCTAGAAGATTTTGTCACAAACCCGACAGCAACATAGTGGTGGCATAATTTTCTTAAAGAGAGTGAATACACGATCAAAGCCTTCTAATATGTTGTAATTATTTTGCTAACAATGCTTTGATATTAGTTTGTACTGAACCATTAGATGGGTGAAGGGTCTCTTGCATATGCTTCTCTGATGCCAAAGTTGAGCTTGAGCCTGTGTCTTAAGAGGGATTGGCGCGGTGGATCTTAACTCTTGAGAATTAAACTTGGACCAGGTGGGCTGAAAATTTTGAGCAGGTAAGAATATTAAGGCTTGCCCTCGTTCGTTCCCGTTCCCGTTCTACGTGACTTAGGACTTGCCATGCCATTTCCCAACTGAAGTGCTATGAATATTACAGTCCGTGAATCCAAGTGGACCCTTTTAAGTGGATTGTAATATTTGGTAATACTTTTTTTAAATAACTTTTATGAGCAAAAATAAAAAATTGTCACAAAAAGTAAAGTAGTATAGATAATTTGTACTATATATATAAGGTTAGTCTTGGTGAAGCAACTCCTACCAAAACAGAAGGAGGCAGTAGGTGGTGGTGGATCTGCACAACCGAAGGTGGTCCCCATAGGTCACACAAGTTCACTTGATCTAGCTAGTAAAAAAAAAAATATAAAGCCATATTACGACACATAATATCACCAACTAATTAGTATGAAATATCACGTGGACTTGGACTTCGTGAATTTCACTTTCTAATGGCACTCAGAGAAAAAAATGTGAAGACTTATGATCGATGAATGACTCGGATCTCACCCAATTGCATTTGCAAGTTATCCCAAAGCAATTCTACGACCCATGTTTGATTTAGGTATTATGAGATTGGATGGGATTTTTTTTTTTGAACATATAATTGGATTAATTTAATTTGATGATGATGTAATACAAAGTTTGAATTGAATTATAGTGACTCGGTTTTAATTTCTCATTAATCCCGATTTAGTTCCTTATTGCTATTTAACATCTAATATTAGGAATTAATGAATACCAAGTGCTAGGTGGTGTTATTTTTAACAAATTTAGTATTAAAAACACAATGACTTTATTAACCTTACAAACCTAAATTCATAACTTCATATAAAAGTCATACATTATGTAAATACTAACCCTCGATATTTATTTTGTCAGTAATAATTTAATATCATACACTCTTACTTAATCCAAATATAATTTTCGTATTATAATTATAGATCTTTACCTTATTCTAACCTTGATCCAAATTTGTTACACACAGGATAAGATAAAATAGTACTCTTATTAATATCATAGATATGTAGATTAAACGAGAATCAATTACTCAATTATATCCTTTATTTGTACCCGAACTAAACCAATCCAAGCTTGTTCTGGTTTGATATCCTCGGTATGTGAAAGGATTATCAAAAAAGAATCGTTTAACTTGACAAACCAAAAATGAAAATAAAAGAAAGGGTTGTAGGGAGGCCGGTACCTCCCCCATAACTTATTAGGACAAAAGTCTATTTTTTAAAATATTTGGGATAGAAGGACATCTCCTAAAAAAAAGACATAAAAGCCCATTTTTATATGAGGAAGACGAATAAACCATCGGTTTTGGGAATCAGTATTGTTAATTCCTTGGCATCAGTTCCTAAACATGGCAATATCAAAAACTAACCATTTCCTAAACCTTTTTGACTTCTAAAGAATATGTCATTTCATTCGTTACCATCAAAGCTTCAACATTTGTCTGACAAATATTCATCACCAGTTCGAGCATATCTTCTTCATCATTAGTTCATCACGTGTTCAAGTTGCTATTGTATGGTCGCCGGATTTTGGTTTTTATGAATCTATTTGTCGGAAATTTGTGCGGTTCTTTGCCAGAAATATTTGCGGTACTTCGCCGGATTATTTGAGTTCCTCTTTTCTAACAGTATGAATTTTTACCATTTACTTTTTTTTTTTGTTGTTTAATACTTGAAAAATCCCCAAAATAGAAAGAGATAAGCCCTAATTTGGTTAAAAAAAATAAGTATTACTTTATTTTGCCAGATTTTTTTTTGCGAATATTGAGTTTGGATTCAATGGGTCATCTCAAATAGTAACAAAATCACATATATCAATTTTTTTCTTGCTTAAAAAGTCCTCAAAGTAGAAATAGATAAACCCTAATTTGGTTGAAAAAATAATTTTTGATTTATTTTGCCGGATTTTTTGCGAATACTCAGTTTGGATTCAATGGGTCATCTCAAACAGTAACAAAATCACATATTTCAAATTTTGCCTTGCTTTAAAAAATATAAAAACATAAATTACACATCCCTAGTTTTAGAGAGAATTTCTTTAAAATTTATGTTTAATATTAAATACATTTCTTTTACATGAATTATAAGAGTTTCATTATTTGTAGGGATGATCTTACTCTTTGGTGAATCTCAATTAATAATTTTATACTTTTCGATATTGATTTTGGTTTGTCGATAATCGGCCAGTTGACATTTTTTATTACTTATTGGTGTTAAATTTGCCTATTATTGTTAAATTCAGTTGTTTTCCATGAATTTTAACAGTTTTAGAAACTCTTAGGCATATTGTGTTACTGTTCGGTGAATCTCTTTTGAGAATCGAAGATAATCGATGTACATTTGGGTTTTTTTTTAAAGTAGTTATTTTATATTTTTTTCTTGTCTAAAAAATACCAAAAACATAAAATACATAGATTTAATTTTAGTGAAAATGATATTAAATTTGCTTCTTAATGTTAAATACATTTGTTTTCCATGAATTATAAGAGTTCCATTAAAAAATGTAAAGATATTGTTACTGTAATGTGTATCTCTTTTTGAGATTTCAAAACTGTTTGACGGTGATTTTAGTTAATGTATGGTGTATCTCTTTTGAAAAATCATGTTTACAGTTTCAAAATCAATAGTCTATTCTTAGAACTTGATAATATTTGACATTGATTTTAGTTGCCACGAATATAAGAGTCTTGTAGATATGGTGTTTTTGTATGGTGAATCTATTTTGATAATTCAAATATATTCAACGTAGGTTTGAGTGTTTTATATTTTAGGTTTTACATTAGTTTAAACACTCAAAAACCTAAAGTAGATAATCATAAATTTAGTGAGAATGACTTCAATTTTTTTCCTTAAAGTTAAATACATTCGTTTTCCATGAATTATATGAGTTTCACAAACCTCTATGCATTGTGTTACTGTATGATGAATCTCTTTTGAAAAGTCAAAGCTCTTTGACATACAAAATCACATATTTTGTATGTAGTGTTAATGTTTTTGGGATACAAGATGGTCTCCCTCATCAAATGTTTTTGGTTTTTGAAAATTAGTGTCTTTAAAAATGATCGAATTTGATATTCGATTGAAAAACAGTCATTGAATGGTTTGTCGGTGGTTTTCAACTCAATTCAACTCGATTGAAAAACACAAATATCATTGAAAATTTCTTTTTAATGTTAAATACAGTCGTTTTAAAATTCTTTATTTTTAATGTTAATTTCTTTTTGTTTGTGGACTTGATGTTACTCTTTGGTGAATCTCTATTAAAAATTCGATACTTTTCGACATTAATTTTGGTTGGTGAATAATCGGCCATTTGACAATTTTTTTCTTGCTTATTAGTGTTAAATTTGCTTATTAATGTTAAATGCAGTTGTTTTCCATGAATTTTAATAGTTTCAGAAACTCTTAGGCATTGTGTTACTGTATAGTGAATATCTTTTGAGAATTCGAAGATATTCGACGTACATTTGAGTTTTTTTGAAAACTAGCTATTTTATATTTTTTCCTTGTCTAAAAAATACCGAAAACATAAAATACATAGATCTAAATTTAGTGAGAATGATATTAAATTTGCTTACATTTTGTTTTTCATGAATTATAAGAGTTCCATAAAAAATGTAAAGATGTTGTTTCTGTAAAGTGTATTTCTTTTTGAGATTTCGAAACTGTTTGACAGTGATTTTAGTTACTGTATGATGTATCTCTTTTGAGAAATCATGTTTACAGTTTCAAAATCAATAGTCACTGTTGAGAATTTGAAAATATTCGACGTACATTTGAGTTTTTTTGAAAAGTAGCTATTTTATATTTTTTTCTTGTCTGAAAAATATCGAAAACATAAAATACATAGATCTCAATTTAGTGAGAATAATATTAAATTTGCTTACATTTTGTTTCCATGAATTATAAGAGTTCCATAAAAAAATGTAAAGATGTTACTATAAAGTGTATCTCTTTTTGAGATTTCGAAATTGTTTGACGGTGATTTTAGTTACTGTATGGTGTATCTATTTTGAGAAATTATGTTTACAGTTTCAAAATCAATAGTCTTTATGTATATTTGAGTGTTTTAGATTTTAGGATTTACATTAGGTTAAACACTAGAAAACCTAAAATACATAATCATAAAT